AATCTCTGTACACAGGGGACAAGGCTAAAAACCAATATTGAGTGGCCGTGATCTCTGGGCTCCGAAATCACTGAGTGGTCTCAGGAGGTCTTTAAGAAACAATTTCAGTTTGTTGCTATGGGAATGCAAGTTACGTAAAAATCTTGGAATTCCGCTAACTTTTCCTGGCCTTTTTCATTTTTATGAGCTTAATTAAGTTGCACTTTCTGATTTCTTTCTGGAAATCGTGGATGACACGTTCTTTGAGCTGAAGAGGAGAGCAATCATTGGCTTGTTCAATAATAATATGATGCTACAGGGTTGTATTAGTGGGTAACTTAGGTTCCATTAATGCTGAATGATATATAGATGTTTGTCCTTTTCAGGGGCGGTCTTGAAGACTTTATCAAGGGGACAAGTGCTAAATACCATAAATATAATCCACTGAAAACATTTAATCCATTGTGGAATTAAAAATTTGACAAAGAAAGCTAAAATTTTATAACGAGTAACAACAGGAAGCACTGGGTTCATTGGTTTCTGCGGTTTTCAAACAGAGCTGTTTTGGAACAAGTGCATCAGATTTAAAATGTATGTATCATATATTTTTCAAATAAAACACACACAAAAAAGTGTTTTCAACACTTGATGTCTTTATCTGCTTTATTTATATTTTACTGAGTATCCCAACTGTTTGGAAAAAGTTGTTGTACATAAATATTAAACTCACTCGTCTCTTTGTTAGGTACAGTTTGCCCTTGCTTTCAGAACCACCTTAATTCTTTATGGCATAGATTCAACAAGGTTGCTGGAAACATCCTTCAGACATTTTGGCACATATTGATGTGATAGCATCACACAGTTGCTGCAGATTTGTTTGCTTAACATCCATGATGACAATCTCCTGTTCCACCAAATCCCAATGGTGCTCTGTTGAGATCTGGTGACTTTGGAGGCCATTGGAGTATCATGTACTATTTTTTGTGTTCAAGAATCCAGTTTGAGATGACTTGAGCTTTGTGACATGTGACACTGTGGTCATAAAGGACATGGTTAGCAAAAATGGTACTCAGGGATACAGACTGTGCCCAGAAAATATCCCCCACACCACCACCGAGCTGAAGCATTGATAAAAAGCATGATGGATAACTGCTTTCATGCTGTTTACACCAAACTAATACTCTCTGAATATTGCAGGAGAAATCGATGCTCATTATACCATGCAACATTTTTTCATCTGGTGGCACCTGGTGTGGTTTTCTGCTGCTGTAGCCCATCTGCTTCAAGTTTTGACGTGTTGTGCACTGAGAGATAATCGTCCACAAACTTTGGTTGTAATGACTGGTTATTTAAGATACCATATCCTTCCTATTGGCTCGAAGGAGAGAGCGAAACAGGCAGAGAAGACTTCTCTGAGGAAATAATCAGTTTCTGAAATATTCCGCTGGTGGCAATAACCATGCCACACCTTCTTCCACATTCTGATGCTCAGTTTGAACTTAAGCAGGTCCTCAAGACAATGTTTGCATGGCTAAATTTTTTGAGTTGCAGCCATGTGATTGGCTAATTAGAAATTGGGGTTAACGAGATCCACTTTGATAAACAGGTGTTCCTAACAAAGTGCTGGTGACTTCATGTTCCTTTTTTTGCCTTCTAGTTTGGCAACAGGCTGGAACCCCTATAAAAGCTTAAAAATGGTTCTTGTGCAAACATAACCTCTGCACTCCTATAAAAGGTTATAAAAAGTGGAAGGTTTATGTTTGAAAGGTGATCCTTAATACGTAAAGTTCAAAAGCCCCATTAAGAAACTCTACATGTGCCCCCAGAGGCAAGAGATTATCTCCACATACTGTAGCTCAGTGAGTTTCGATGCTGTTGTCACAATATATTCCATCAGGAATTTTAGTCAGTTCAGCTTCATTGACAGTTGTTGTGATAGCATAATTAGAGTTTGGTGACGTTCAAGCATCAGTTGCTGTTGCCTGCTGCGTCAAATTTCACGGATGCGTTTTTGTTACCCTGATAAATTTTTATCTTCACGTCAGAGGTAATGCTTTTACAGCGCCAGCGCCAACTTGCTCAGTCAACGTCTGTATATATTTTTTCCACGATTTTGAAATCGCAAATTAAAACTCGTACTGACATCAGCTGATTTAAGCAAACAGTGTCTTCGCCACTTTTAGATGCCAAAGTGTATTTGACAGGGATTAGAGTCATTCTATGGGGTGTTTTTAGAAACAGGCCAAAAGCTGAGTTGAAACTGATTATCTCATGCCACTGTGAAAGAAAGTGAGAGAGGAAGAGCCCAAAGTGACCCTGCACACACATTAAGGCTGTGAAATCTAAACTGGCAACTACCTCCAGGAT